CTGGCCCCACATCAACATTGAAAAATGCCCCGGCACGAAGTGGTTAAACCAAATTCCCATTGCTCTTTGTAACCATGCTTTACATTTTTTTATTTTATGCATTACCGTATCATTTTATATTGTATTAATTTGCTATGTATGTTCACTGCAGAACAAGTCAAAACAAGTCAGTAATTGGCATTGTATATATGCATGGCAAAACCTGTGGACAAAGAAAGGATATGTGAGATTTCATAGCCCTTTTTATTATAGATTACACTGCAGTCTCTTACCATCAGATATAACTACCATACAACTCAGTGAAATGCCCAACCGATAAAGCAGGAAAAGGAATTCTGAAGAGTAGTCGTTGATGAATATAAACTTTTTCTTGTCTTCATTTACTAAAAGTCCTATTCTAACGTCTTTGTTTTACGCTACTGCATAATTATTGAAACCTGTAGACACCCAGTTAACACCTTGAAATGTCTTCTTGCTTTCTAGAATGTATCATCAAATTTATCTTAGAGATTAATCCAAGAAAGTCCTGCATTCTACCAGTTTGAAGCAGAACTTTCTAGTTATCATGTCACCATTAACCACTTTGTGCCAGGGTACCAGTTTCGGGGACATTGGCTTTATACCCGAAGCCGTGGAGCCTGAAGCCGGACAAAAGAGCTTTTCCTTGTAACAAAAGACTGTACTTGGAACAAAAGACTGAGCTGCTTGGAATTACCAACTTTTTTCAGTTGTCAATAGCGGAGGAAATCTGTCATTGTTTTGAAAGATTATACCACTGTTTTTGGCATTCAGCGCAAGTGGATTACCACCAGGGACAAAAACGCTCCAGTGATGAGTGATACAATACTGCTGCACGCTAATCTGGCCCCTATTGAAAAGACGCCAGCAGTGCACTGTGCAGGTTTCGGGAACAAAAGAAACTTACATATTACTACACAATCTGGGCTTTTTTACAAGGCGGCAGGCCTGGCTGAAATACTCAGGCATCAATAAATGTTGTCTGTCAGATTAGAGTAGCTACCAGAGTCATTCATATAGGTGTAAACGTCCAGTAAATGAAGTTATGAATTTTTAAATGAATTTGGAAAACAGAAAAAAAAATCTAAAAATCACCCGGTCCAGCAGAATCAACATGGATAAATGGGCCTAGCGCAAAGTGGTCAATATATTTGCTCAAAAACTGAGGTGCTGTCAATTAAGTTCTTTCAACTTAGCTCCTTTGTGGAACCAATCAACAGCAATATGGCACAGGGGAAAAAAAACATGTTTGGCTTTCAGCTTTTCTCACAAAAGTTCCTTATAGTTACTCTTTCCTCTGTCATTGCAATCCCATGAAGTACTGCACATTTACCAGATTTGTGTTGCTTGTGCTATACAGTAATTAGCAAGTAAAGAGTAAACGATCTTAGTTGTGGTTTACAGGTTTTCACTATTTCTAACTACTGACATAAATATGGGCGGAGTTGATTTGTAACTGTGATGCAGAATATCTTGTGCTTTCTCAATTTCTAGTACATAGAAGCATGTTCAGTATTTTAAAATTGTTCATGGAAAAATCTGTTAAGCTTTGTTGATACCAGCTTTTTTTCAAGCTGAGTATGTGAGGTATGCTGTTAGTGGAGTTCAAATTCATACCTGCAATCTGTTCCGATTTCCATAAAAAGGAAAAAAATACGATTATATGCCCCAGCAAAAAAGCGCTGTATTTGCAGAAAAAGAGGATGCTATTTGCTATGTCCAAATGGCAGTTGTTACACAGGCATATATGTGTGTACATATAAATAGCTTCTCTTGCATGGCTGCTTGTTTTGTTGTGGGCTCGTAAAATGGGTGTTCCGATTTCTGATTTTTCAATCTTGGCTGGTATGTGAATGATGTTTGAGGGGATTGCATGATGTTTATTTTATTGACACATGTACAGTTTTCCCCAATAATTCAATGAAGGTGTAATTCCTGCTTTGAAAATTTTGTCAGCTAAGAACTAGAAAAAAAAATCCTTTCATTCATGTTGTAGGACTTCCGCAAGAGTTCTTCTGTGGACAGTGGTTTGTCAGTGACCACTCCGGCTGATTTTGATCGGTCTCCAATCTCCCTGTTGCCTGGGGATCAGCAAGAGGCCAGCACGGCTCCAACAAAGGATGAAGGTACACCTGTCAAAGATGAACTGCACATGTGTTTAGACTTGAGAAGTCCACACATTAGTGAACACTCAGGAGCGATGGACTCCAAACAGCAGTTTCAGCCTGCAGTTCTTACAGGTGTATCACAGGAGAGGAGGGAGGACTCTGATGGGGGAGAATTAGTGTGTGTGAAAACTGAACTAAGTAGCACTTTATCAGTGGGTGAAAAAGCAGCACTGAGTGAAGTACAAGAATCTGATAGTCACACTGCATCCAGTGACAGTGAAATGACAGCCAGCAAAAATACTTCTTTAGGCTTGGACTATTCACTGTCAGCCTCACAGGGATCGCTAGCCTCAAGTTTGCTTAGCACCCAAAGCTCGCTGCCTGACCTGCACAAATCCTGCATGAGCTTGCCAGACCTTGGCCGTTCACGGACATCATTGCCAGACATGTCTGCCTCTGCTGCAGAGTTGCAGCTAAGCTCTGTGGCACGAAAACTTGACATGAAGTCGGATTTGTTCAGTACTCAGAGGATATCGGAGGAGCCTGCGAATCAGAAGCATTTGCTTGCAAGTGGGGAAACAGCATCGCAAAGAATTAGGCACCTCTCGGGGTGCAGTGTAAACAGTGGTTCCTCGCTAGACCAGAGTGATGGTCAGTTAACTCAGAGGCAAAACTTCCCCGAGGATCAGGGGTCAGGAAATTTGTATTCTTCCTTTGGACCGCCATTAAAAAGGCCATTGCTCGGCCAGTCGCCCGAAAGAAGCACTAATATAAATCGTATGCAACCTGCAGCATCTGGGTATAATTCAAACCAGACGTCAGTAGTGCCAGCTATTCATGCTGATGCAGGCAGTGCACCCCTGGACCACGTAGAGAGGAGGGACACCTCTCAGACTTACTTAAAGCCCTTGGATGGTCCTAATGCAGCTGATTCAGAGTCCCCTGCAAGTGATATACATATGAGAGGGCCAGCCTGGGGCCAATTGCCAAATTCGGGGCAACAAACCGGTCCGGGAAGACCATGTGGGCCTGTCCCCCCACCTACTGGGGCAGAAGGTCGACAAGTTGAAAATTATGACGAGGTACAACCAGGTGCAGGATACAGACCGGCAGCGTTACTACCCAGTGATGTCCATAGAGGTCCACATGGAGAATCAGGACAGATGGGTCCTGGTAGGCCTTTACTTCCTGGGCAGGCAGGATCATTTGGGGTTCCCCCATCGCCAGTCAAGGCAGCACTGGGACAGGGCCAGGTTGGGCCTGGTGGCTCACCTCTCGCTCCAGGTACACCACCTGCTGGTCTAGTTTCACCAGTGCCAGGAACACCCCCAGCTGCAAAAAAAAGGGTCAGTGTATGCCTTAAGTTGCACATTTATGTCAGTTTTGTAGTTTATGGTGGTCAAAGGAAGTAGGCTGTTGTGACAAATCTACCTCTAAAATGCGTTGATGTAATACTGCCTTCAAATATATAGATTTCATATAACTGTCTTAAGACAACATTCAGTGTCGGTCGCAAGTGATGAATGAACATAAATGCAGTATGGAATTCCTAACGTATTGAACGTATTGGCAGGTTTGATCAATTTGGTTGGTGTTGCTTTCAATCCTAAAGAACTTGGAGGGGCACAAATCACCTCCATTCGACACTTTTTCCAATATCGCCACAATGCATTTTTTTTAAGCTGCCGAGCCTTTTAGGACTTATAAGAGTAACTCTTTGCAGTCATTGTTCTTGCACGCCGCCCATTTTTCTAAGACGGGCCATCCAAAAATGTATACTTTTCCACTGCTGTGTGCAATGCATGTAGGCCGGCATATGTTGTGCAGCCGAGTTCTCGGGGGCGGAATCCTCCTTCCCTTCCACCTTTGGATGATTGTCCAAAAGGCTTGATTGTTGCAACCAAAGCAGTCAAATTCCTGTCTGTCTTCATCTGTCACAGATCAGGGCCAAAGCTTTGGCAAAGGAACTTGATGCAGTGGCACAGGAATGCAGGGCCTGCTTCGCTGTAGATCTCTGCTTGTGCTGCTATTTCGTACATCTGCACAAATGTCGAGGAATTAGTATCTAAGTTTTGCAACTTATTTTTGTCCATATTGTCAGAAGAATGTGTTCCTTGTGTTAGATTTTGTTAACGGATACTTGAATCCTTTTGAAATGCAGGTGTCATTGCATGAATATCGCAAGCGTAAGGGCGGAGACTTGGGCAGTAACAAATCTACCAAGAAGGATTCTCCATCTAGCGCACCTGCTACCCCTGTAACATCAAAACCTTCCCTTGTGCCACTTAAGCCCCCTCTGCCAAGCCCCATTTCAAACTCCAACCCCAACACTCCGACCAAGCCACTGGAAAGTCCTCTCAAGGCCAGCAGCAGCACCTCCTTGACCCCGACTGCCCAGTTGCCCAGCCTGCCCCTGTTCACAACAGACAAGGAGAACGGACTGGGGGAACGTCTGAGTCTTTCAACGGAGGCGCAGCAAGTGATCTCATCTCTGACCAGCCTCTTGAAGAAACACAAGAAATCAGATGAGGATTCAACACATGACTCTAAATGGTTTGTGTCTGACTTTGGATCTTGTTTTAGACACTTTGACTTTAAAAGATTCCTTAGTTTGCTTTGTTGGTATGTACATAGTTTTTCTGAGTAAGACACATTCATGCACAGTAGATATGGAGAGGTAACCTTAAACAGGACCTTTAAATTGCCTGGCTTTACATTTGGTCACAATAAAACATTTCACCTGAGAACCCTTGTCTTCATACACAGTTGGAGTATGATTCAGTAGTCGCTTGACTTAAGCAATGACAGAAAGGCTGATTGTCAAGAAACATAACTTTAAGGGTATTTAATTTGCCAGTAAAATGTCACCAACTTGCTATATCTTTGATAGGAAAGGATTTTTCTTTTTTAATCAATAAAGAAGAAAAAAAAATTTCAGTGAACAGGGAGGGCATTGACAAGGTTACTAGCTTCAAAGTAAAGATGCATTCAGATATTGTTACTGAAGTAAATTTCTGACTGTGACCAGGAGCTCCAGCCGGCTGGACAGCTCAGATGAAGACCCCCTTCAGAAGATGAGGAAAGAGCTGAAGGAGAAGAATCGAGAGAGGGAACGCAAGGAGGCACTCGCTCACAAGAGACCGCTTTCCCCAGAGCCCCCTCCCCCTCCTCCCAGTAAGCGACCCAACCCAGGGCTGCACCTGCAGATACCGCCACCTCCACCACCAAAGGCAAAGACAGACAACCGACCTGGTGAGGAAAAACCACAGGCCGTCTTAGAAGAGAATGTAGACTGTAGAGAGTAGTTAGCTCTTGACTAGAAAATGCACCAAGTCGAGCAAACATTGAAGCAAACCATGAGGAATATTATAATACATATTAAGTATGTGATTAGAAATGCAGTAAGAAAGTTGCTGCTGTTCTGCTACTGTGTGAATGTCATGTTTTTCATAATACTCTCAAATCAAAGAAAAAGTGTCAAACAACAAATAAATAATGCAATGGGAAGTCTCGCATTGGAAGCCTTTGTTTATGCTTGAGAGAAATTACTTGCACATCTTTGTCATTGCTGGCCATTTCGGTTCATGCAGCTTTTGTGCTGAAAAATATGCCATCTTCAGTGTGAATAGCACCCAGCAAGTATTCTTCAAGTTAGTATCCGTAAATAATTAACACGTTGACTGCATAATTTCAAAGGGGTGTTCCCATTTGCCATGTGTTGTACGCATGCATTCATATTTGATAGGTACCATCATGTGTCTATTTGAACACAGATGTATGCCTTTCACACTGCCAGCAGCGTATCTATTGTGTTCTTCATTGATGTCAGTGTGTTTAATTTACATTACAATAGCCTTTCATGTCCTATGAGTGTACTCACAGTGGCAGAATCCCATACACCTGTGACTACAGATATACTTGTAGTCGACAGGCAATGTGTTTAGAAGGTTTATGCATAGTGAATGGTATTTGGGCATGCATTTGTTGCTTAATAAGTGAACAGCTCTGCAGGTAAAACATTGGTTCTGAAGTGTACTCGTTTCAATGTTTCTCCCTGTTAAAAAAAAAGCAAATTTGCATTGCATTGAACAATTGCATTGGAGTAAGTTTCCGTGCTTATGTTTTTCCAAGCCCGTTTTTTTTTCTGAGCTTAGGTCCCCAAACATGCACCCATCTTAAATTGATCAGTGTGTCCTTTTCTTGGTGATGATGTATCTTTCGCTCATATTGATATTTCAAGGTGATGCATCAGGAGAAACTACCCCAGTGAAAATGCCCAACCCAGCTGGAAATACCACACCAGTGAGAACTCCAGGGTCTGCAGGAATTTACCCACAGGTAAAAAATGTACTTCCACTCACCTCTCTTGGCAAAAAAATTAAATACGAAGTGGATTTACTTCTCGCCTTAAACAAAAAATGTTGAATCTGGAACCTCCTTCAGAAGAACGAAGAAAACACTGCAAGCAGTACTTTGTTTCATAAGCTGATTTCCTCTTTTTAAAACTTTTCATCAAATTCATGGAAAATGGAAATACACAGTAGAAAATGTACTCCAACTTTGTATATTCTTTTCCCATTGTATTCATAATGTGTCTTTGTAATACATCACTGTTAACGTTAAATGTCACTAAAACAAGCCTTGAACTTTTTCATTACTGCAGCTTGGAAATGCTTTCAATGCTCAAGTATCATCTCCTTACATCCCTGCTCCCGTGAAAGCACCTTTCCAGCAACCATACCATGCACAGCAATATGCACAGCAACAGCAGCAACCCCCACAGCAGCAGCAGCAGCAGCAGCCTCCCCAGCCCCCACAACCCCCTCAGCCCCAACACCAGTCAGCATATGCTGCCGCCTACTCAGTGTATGATTACAATCACCAGAAGTCACACGGTGCTCAACAGCAGTTTCCACAATACTACCAGGGACAGCAGGCACCTCCACTGCCACAGCAGGGACAGTACCAGCAGCAGCAGCCGCCGCCGCAGTCAAAGCAAGGGTACCAGCATCCCTACCCACAAGGGCAGAAGCAGGGCTACAAGCCTGCTGCAGCTGCAGTGCAACCGCAGCAGTCACAACAACAGCAGTACACCAGAGCAGGCAGCAAGTATGGATCAAATCCAAACATTGGGACCAAAGGTGCATTTGGTGCAGATGGCCGGACTTCCAAACCTCCCTTCCCAACCAATGCAAACAGTTACTCCCCCAGGAGAGGGACATACTACAAGTGATGTTTGATTTCTCTGTGGGTTTAAAATAGCTTACTCGCTTCCTCTTGACTAGGAAACAACACATAAACTGGTAGACAGAAAGGTGGTAACCGACACATAATGCATGCTGAAAATGAAAAGTTATTTGGACAGTTCATAATCAACCCTCTTTTGTCGTCTTATTGGTAAATTATTGCATCATGATTGTGTTTGTGTTTTGATTGTGCCTCATTTCAGCCTCTTTCGTTTTGTTGTATTAACATTGATGAATTGATTTGATTTTACTCATTATGTTTCTTTAGAAGTGAATGGATTTTTTTTCCCATGAAGATTTGAAAGGAAACCTCTTAGTAGTTATACCTGTTAGCATTCCTTTAAGGGTCAAATTGGCTGTGTAATCTACCAACTTTAGCTACAGGTGACATTTTTTTTTCTCTTTCTTATTTTTTGTTTTGTTTTGGGGTCACATTTACATAAAAGCCAAATCTTTTAACCGTGCATTAAGTGAAATATAGAACTTGAAACATCAAAGCCAGTGAGACAGTTTGTCAACTATTTAATTCAACCGACCACAAAAAAGTAGACTCAGAGTAACCAAGACACAAAAACAAATGTCATGTTCCACAGATCCAAAAACGGTTGAATTGAAAAATGTGAGTTTGATTTGTTTTTCCCTGATCACTGTCAGATTAATGCGGGCATACCACACATGTCGTCTTGTATATCAAGTGGTGAAAGCATGAGTGGCTATGATTTGTCCAAACATCCTGCGGTGCCGTAGGTTTATTGTGTTATTGTGTTGGTTGTTCAGTTTTTTTTTTTTTTTTAGTCCCTCTGAGCTCTTGGTAATGGGGCATCCCGACCAGCACAAAAAGAATCAATAACACACAATGTTATAAGAAATTTGGTGACAAGAGATTCAGTTAAGAGGAATGGTGTTGGTAGATAAATATGATTTAAAAAGGAATATGCCTGTGTAGCCCTGTACAGTTAAAAATGTGTTCATGTAAATCATGAAGTGTTGTAAATAGAAAAATGCATTCAGGTCAGATCTTGGTTGTCTCTATTTTTGTTATTATCGATAATGATTCATTAATAAGTAAGGAGCAGAACTGAATAATCCATAAAAGAGCTTTAACCAGTTTTTATATAATAAATCAGCCCTTGGAGTGCTCTTAAATGGAATTCCTTCTTAGCCACTTGTACATGGTAGTGATGCCCATGTATATATATTTAAAATTACATGCTCATGACATTTTAAGTGCGAGTCATGTAATTCAGCCTGTACATATGACTATGATGTAAAGTGCTTAATGTAGGTTGCAGATGCTATTAGAAGATACAGTAGAATTCTAGCTGTAGATTTGCTCCCACGAATTTAATTTGGTTCTTTATTTGTTCATAAATAATTTGTGAATAGATCATTTTTGTCTTGTTTGCTTTACTTTTGTACCGGAGTGAAATACTCTTTTTAATTTGTTACATACAAAAAATATATTTCTTGTGTAGGTTTTTTGGAAATTTTTTGCATTGAATGTTGTACAGTTTAAAACAAGTTTGTATAGTCAGAGGTCCATTTGATAATCAGTACTGTAGTTTTGATCCCATGTTCTTGAAACTTTGTTTAGTCCTGTTCTGAATGTTAACGACTCTTTGTTTTGAGAGTACATGTATAATCGCTGTGTGTTGGCACCAGATGCATTGCAAGGTATTCAGGATATTTCATTCAGTGCAGTCACGTACATGTACGTGTGTTGGTGTGCTTGCACAATGGTGTTACAGCATTGTGGAAACATTACAGCAAACTTGGGCTCAAGACGAAAGTTTACTAGAGTCCAGCAAATCAGTTCTCATCTCCATAGAGTAAAACTTTTGTTTCACCACTCACTATTTCCTTGAGGTGAAAGTAAGTAGTATCCAGCGTTTTCTCTTGCACTGCTTACACAGGTTTCATTGTGTGAATTCCAATCGTGTAATTTTACTGAATTCAGCCATCATCCAGTCATAAAATGTTTGGTTCACGGCTGTAGTTGCATGTGCAGTCAAAACTTGGAACACTCAAATTTGACTTAATGGAGTACCAAAGTGAATACGCCCCACGCACAATTAGTGTGTAAAAGGCATGAGCGTGTGAACCAACGCGTGAACCAACACACGCACGTACTCCATTCGTTTGCACTGAACTTTCTGGTTCACAGTGATGTTACACTTCGGAACTCTATACAGATTATTTTGCCCTTTCCCTCTTTCTAGGCGAGTGATGGTAAATGCCCTCTCTCTCTAGTCATGTTAGTGATGAGGAGCCAAGTACAATTACAAAAATAGAAATAAATAACAGCATGTCTCTGAGTGTTGTACACTAAGTGGGTATGCGTGGGGTTTAGAGCAAATTCACAGAAATCCCACAATGCATCTGGCGCTTTATACTAACAGTGGATAAGCAATACAGGCTTGATCAGGACCTAAAGAGTGATTTCTTTAATGCCTAGATAATGACATACTAGGTAGGGGTGTGCACAAGGGAAAATACATTTTCAGTGGTCCTGTAAATGTTCTTAATGTAACAAGTAGCCGACAAGATTAAGTCATTCGAGACTGGCTGAAAACTTCGGACTTGTGATTACTCCAAGTGAGCTGAAGTACTTGTGTACCATAAATGGAAAAATCAAATAGAACCTCATGTTTTCTTGTCATCTGGTGTTCTACCATCTCAACGCAATACACAAGACAAATCTACGAAATGAATAGAAAATTCCTTGTGATGCTGTTTAGGCTTGATCTCAAGCAGTTTGAATCCATTTCTTTACAGTGTTCACATCTTTGGGTCCTGTAGGCCAAGGATGATGACCTCCAAATACAATATGTTGCAGACGTTTTACGTTTGAGTAGTTTATGTGTGTGTGCCATCGCAAAGCAATTTTTTCTCCACACATTATGGAGAGGTTTTTCTATTTATAAGTTGCCCCTTTCCCAATCGATTTCTTCCATAATGCAGTTTTAAGTATTACAGCGTTGTCCTCTTCAAATAATGTACTATCTTGACTCTTTACTTGGTCATTACTTCTGCTCTGGATTCACATTTCTCTCTTAAATCTAATCAGATCAACCCGAACCCCGTAGGTGTATTTAAAGCTCATATTGAAATCAAAGAATTTGGGACTCTTAGGGCTATAAAACAATGTGTAACAAGCACAAACTAAGGGTGTTTTGTTACTTCATGAAATATTTGAGGAAAACCCCCACCAGAAAGTTATATTTTGTTCTCATCCTTACTGAAATGTACTAATATAACCCGGTGTTTCTTATGATGTTGGCCATTGACAAAATCCAGGACGGGTTGTACGTGACTGCAGTGTTGTCTGCTCATTTTCACTTACATTTGCACTTGCTCAATATTTTAAGTTTCATCTGGTATTTACCCTCTCATATCAAATTATTAGTATGATACCCTGTGAACCAATTTAACATGTACAAATTTCATTTGAATCATGAAATTATGTGCATATTTCCTGGCACTGTGGGAGATTTAATCATTGATGTTTTGTGGTCAAAGTGGAGCGCACTGCATGCAAATGGGAGATTTTGTCCACTTTCGTTCTTGTGACTAAAGTTTTTGTCATTAGTGTCAGTAAAATTTCTGTTTCATTGACCACCATTTTAGTTGGGAATGCTTTGCCCGTCACCCTCCTTGAAATGTATCGTCATCTGAATTTAGTTTAGGATTGAGTCAGAACTGAAACAAGTGGGCGAAACTTATGTGAAAAAAAAGATTACCAGATTGTGTGCATGATATATTTATATTCAGTGTCCAGATTGTTGTCAGCTATTTTTTTAGTAAAATAATTCCTTTGAAAATACTTTATTTGATTTAATATTTAGGTCTATTTTGATTGACTTGAATCTACTTACTGAATCCTGTGCTGTAGTATTTCTTGTGAATGTTGATGATTCCAGCTCACATCACTAGTGCCCAAACTGCATGCTGCAGTTTACCTTACCTGGAGCCTGTAAATAAAATATGTACAAATACAACAATATAAAAGCTTGTTTGTGTGGTTTTGGGGGGATGTACATGTATTTACCTTTCCTATTTTTGCTTGTGCCGGTGCTTCTAGATATTTTCCCAAAAGGGATGTTTTGGAGTTACTTTTGCAGTTGGCCTGTTAAAGATTTGGGCCATTTTATTTTTCTATCTTGCCATTTGAAAAAAATTGAAGCAACATCGGGTGCTGGAGGGTTTGACGTTGACAAAAGCAGCAGGCCAGATCATGGAGGAAGGAACACCCCTCCATGGCCAGATCTACATGCGCTTTAATGCAAGTGACATTTTGAGAGATAACCATTTGGGTTTTGTTTGACCATCTTGTAAAGCCAGCATCGGTGGAAGGCCAGTACAGGTGCACGCAATATAATTATATTTGTCTTTGACACCCAGATGTGTTTGGGTTAAATATTTTAATTCAATTATTTCTAATGCATAAAAAATCTGAGAGTGAACCCTCCTCTTCGCAGTTTGGACCCGCCCCTCCTTATCACCGCAGAGAGTACGTAGCCTAGCATCAGACGCAGTGGAATGCCTTTTAATACGACTAGTTATCGGGGGGATAGTCTGGTAAGCGGACTGTGACGTTCGGCATAAATGCATGCACATAGTACCACTAGACAAGGGCCGGCTAGGTGTACGTACATGTACAATATGGCGACGACTGTGGCTCAGAAAAATGCTGAAATAAAAACGGACCAGGTTGAAGACGACGTCGTTGGCAACGCAGAGACAGGTGCAGATAAAAAGAAGAAAAGGAGGAAAAAGAAAAAGACAGGTAAGCTAGGCCTTTAATGCGCAAATGTATTTTGTCGCAGTTGTGGGAGCTAAGATCTGGAGCGGCGAGAAATGGTAGTGCGGCAGTGGTATATCGGCCAGTTGCGAATTTGTCGTGCATGTTGTGAATTGGAGGGAGCCAGGTCAACTCGACCGTTTGCCCATATCCGGCATGGAGGTAGAATGTACCTCCATGGTTTGCCGACTCGAGTCAACTCGACTCTCGACCAACTCGACCGTCGACCAACTCGACCGTTGTTCCTTCAACTATAAAGGTCAACTCGACTCTCGACCAACTCGACCGTGCAAACGGTGCAACAGGGACAGGGCATAGAAACAACACTTTTTTCCTACTTCTGGATCGTGCATGTAATTTGTTTTACTGTGCGTGTGATCTGTGCATGCGCAGGGTGTGGTGACAGATTTCGGGGGTTCGTGCGTGCTTGCATTTTCTCAAATTGGGAAAATTATTTTGGAGTATCTCATTGGCACAAGTTCAATTATTGATTACATTTCAGTCGATTTCGTGGGTTCATTGAGCCGAAATTAGAATCCATAATTTTCGCGATCTGGAACTGATCCGATCTTTAATTTTGCCCTTTTAAAATCTATTTTTCAGGGAAAGGGTTTGTCTAATAAACCCCTGTATCAACCATGCGGTCGAGTTGGCAAACGGTCGAGTTTGGTAAATGGTCAAGTTGACTCGACTTTGAAGTCGAGTTGATCAACGGACAAGTTGGTTTAATGGTCGAGTTGGTCGACGGTCGAGTTGGTCAGGAGTCAAGTTGACTCAAGTCAAGTTAGCAAACGGTCGAGTAGACCTACAACCAGTTAGAGGATCCTGATCAGGATGAAGCAAGTGGTTCATGCCATGGCGTTAATATGGTGCTGTCTAGAGAAAGGGGTGTTTATTACCATTAGCACCCTCTTCCTATAATAAGGAAAACGAAGTCCACTTTTTCAAACTAGGCTTAACTTTCATTCAGAACTTAAGGATTTATTCCTTAATCCTAGTACAAGTAGCTCTGGTTTTGGTAAATTTTGACAGTATATAAGCAAGAAAACCAGAATTTTTTAACCCGAATTTGGCGAAAGACGACCGCATTACGCCAGTTTGTTTCACGTCTGGTTACCCGACCCAGCCATTGTGGATATACTGAATTACATTAGAGAAACTTTTATGGTTCCAGGTCAAGGAACCAGACCACATGCGCTCATTTGTCTTCATTCACAACTCTTCGTCGCGTCATTTTACGCTGCCGTATTACCCCATAATTTCCCCCCAAACCAAAGCCCTTCCGTCTTTTGTTTCTAATATGAAAGAGGACATCACCGCCAACTTATTTAGGTAAGTTGTTTGGAAAATGTAGACCTTGTTTCCTTATTATAGGAACAGGGTGCTAATGATAATGAACTCCGAGAAAAGACATGTACATGTAGGCCTAGCCCAGGTTGGACGACGTCTACATTGCACTGTGACTAACGCAATGCAGTGTAGACGTCGTCCAATGTGGGCTAATGTAAGCCTAGACTTTGTGTGTCTGATGATGTATGCATTGGGCATAGAGTGCAGTAGGCCTACATCGTCAGGCCTGTCAGGTATGGCTTGACACATGATATGAATTAACCGGGATGTGGTTTGTAACTTAGTCCTGCATTCCTGTTTTTCTTCTGGCTGAGGTGTCTGGTGGATGGCAGGGAACTTGTTAAAAGTTTCAGAGGTTGCTTCCTTCGGAAAGAGTTCACAGGTTGCTTCCTACAGAAAGAGTTCCATATGCAGATGCCAGTAATTATTCCGTCCAGTATCCTAATAGCCATCAGAAAACAAAAACATGTCCAGAAAAGTTCAGTTTGGGAAGGAAAATGCTGAGTTGTTTGCTTAGAAATAGAACTTTTCAGACCAGTCTCACAGGTTATGCACAGGTTGTCAAGTGGCGTCCACATACATGTATAGAACTCTTTCTCTTTTTACTTATCTTATACTTAAAGGCCAAAGCTAAATCCTGAACATTTTTGTGAACTGAAAATGGCCCAGATTTGTATCATCACAGAATTAATTCTTTACACATGTATGTATTTGAAGCATTGTGGCAGGGTTCAAAATTAACTTCAATATCTTGATGGCCTGCAGGGCTAGTGGTTAAGTGCACCGCACTGGCCCTTGTGAAAATTTGGTAGCCCGGGTTGAGTACATGTAATGAAATCGATCAGGCCCACCACACATGCCCATTTGCATCAGTTGAAGTAACCAAACAGCTGATTGGCCAGCCTGGCTGGACTTGGACACTTTTTAAGGCCAAAAAACTGCATGTAGTTCTGCTTCTGGTTACGTGACCAATCCTAAATTTTTGGCACGACCATAAAATTTATATCAGTTAGAAAAACACACTTAGAAAAAAAAAGGAAAAACAAATCCTGTCTTCACTAAACAACTCTCAACAAAGTTTTCACATCTAAAAGCTTGCATTTTTTGTTTGCCTGATTACATTCACCATATATGGAGAGAAAGTTCCGTTACTTTCACAAGTTCCCTTCGCATTTCGCTATCGCAGTAATGAAAACATGCATGCATTATTGCTCGATGCACAGAAGCAAGGCTTTACTGGTTCCCGTTGCCCGCGCCACTGCCAAAGAAGGCATGATGGTAATGCGGCAGCCAGTCTATGCATCGCGGTCAAAATAGCGTTGTACAATTCACTGTACACACATGCAACTCTACAGCTGCACATCGAAAAACAAGAATGATGTCGCATGAAGATTTCTACAAGTTCATTCCCAGAACTTGATCTGTTTTCTTTATACATGTATGCATTTTTTGTGTTCACAAATTTAATCTGAGGTTATATTGCTTATACCTAACGATCGGACTCAACGCGACTCAACCTGTAAAGGTTTAGTTGGTGTCCGTGGGAGATAACGTTAAACTGGCATTGGTAGAAAATGATACCAGCCAACATACCATCGCAGGCACCTGCTGCACATGTATGAGCTGTGTGCATGACCATGCAGTGAACAGAATGTCGTACCGCTACGTGTGTGTGTGTGGCACACGAGCCCAACCGCGCGGCCTGTAGAATTATGCTGTGAACTTGAAAGTTCTGTGCCGATGGTTTGAAACATGAGTCGTCAATTGTGATGAAAGTTTTGAAAATGTGGCAGTGTTCCCAAATGACCACTGTCCCCCCAGGCCATCGTTTTGGGAGAATGCAATTGCCCACTGAATTTTTTGGTGGTCTCGGCCTAGCGGACCACTGTTAATTTTTACCCCTATTGTGGTTTTTTAACGGCCACTTTATGGGTCTAATTTAGGTAGGTCTACTACGTCTACACCATGTTGGTTCTTCCTGAAAAAAACAAGGCACATGGGCTTAATCGCGACAATTGCTAAATACCTCGTCACTCACATATCTCACCTCATGCTGGAGTCACCCAGTCATAACAGTTGACTGCCTACCCATAGCAAGTATGTGTTGTCAGTTATCGGTAGTTACATGTACATGTAGCTATGGGTAGTCTGGACTGAGAATTGTTCTTGGAACAACTCCCATTCATTGTGCACTGCTCTGATTTAAAGCGACTTGACTCTGTAGCCCTGTGGCAAGCTGCAAGATACATGTGCATGTACTCTATTAGGACTTCAACTTTTATTATCATTCTCAATGGTCGCAAAGGCAACTCCATCAACTGGGTAGCTAGACATTATTGGGTTATTATAAACTGGCAGGGTATTCTGCAGTTACTCCAAAAAATAAAATAACAATCTGGAACTTTATATGTTGATAAGATTCATTTTGGAGGGTATGTTTTGGCCAGTTACTTTCTATTGATTTTCACATTTTTCAATACATATAAGAAGATACAGGAAAACAGATTAATTCCTGTTTGCCTCTGTGAACAAGATTGCATCTGTTCAGTGTGCATGCATTTTGTCCTTTATTCCACAATTTCAGGTCATTGTTTACGCAGGCACCGGTTCTGTTACACTCCTTTTGACATTCATCACATGATTTTATTTTAATAGTCTGCCACAAATAATCTTGAAAATCCCCCTCAAATGGAAAAAAAAGCTGGAATTAGTTTTGGCAGTGAATACATGTATATCATCAGCCTTTTCAATACACAATTTGATCACTTTTATGTTATGGATTGAGGAATTTTTTACAAAGTCATGAAATGTAAGACTTGGAAAATGCTAATCCATGCTTATTTTCAGATATACCATCTTAATTAAAGAATAATCCATTAACAAAAATTAATAAAAGTTTTTTCACTTCGTGAAAACAGAAAAACCCAGAGGTGTTTTTTCATATTGCATTATACACGCTTATGTCACTTCGTGAAAAAAATATGCGCTTAAAGAAAATTGTTACATTTCGTTCCATTCTAACATACGAGCGCAGGTGTTATGTACATGTACAACATCGTTCACGTGCATGTGTACACGTACAGACTCGTGCAGAAATTGTGTATATTGTCACTAGTTTTACCCTGCAAACGTTTTGACTTTTTGTCACTTGGTGAAAACGGAGAAACACAGAGACTAAGCTATTTTTAGTTGTTTGTTTACAGTTACTAGGAAAGTAAACAACATTTTGCTATGAAACCCTGCTAATTTGTTATTAGGATCAAAGGAAGTACAATGGTAGGAAAAACTCCAGATTGAAAATTTCTGATTTGCCGGGTTTTTGTCACTTCGTGAAAACACCAACGATATGTTCATGCCCCCTGAGCAAGTGTTATCTTTATGTTGCCCCACATTGCTTAACATTTGAAGCAAATTACTATTCGGCCAAGCTGTCAACTTGTAGCAAACCATTACCAACCAAAGAGATTTATGCACAGTGTACATTACCTGTAAAAAGTTGCCAATTATGCACACTTGAAAGTGTTGACCCAGATCATGACTTACACGTAATGTCTATCCAGGGAGAATTCTGAAGAAATATAGAGCTTTAATATCAACACTCTCGGTTAGGGAAAAGGGAAATCCAGAATGTGGAAGCATTTTAGGGGCCATAATTGGTGGGCTGATGGTGGGTCAGAGTAAAATTTGTAATGATTGACAACTTTAGCTGAATGAAAAAAAGATGTTAGAATTGGTGAGAATAAAGGACACAAGTCATGTAGTTCTACAGAAATGCAGTGTTCAAGGAATTCTATACAGATCTACTCATCTGTCAAGTTTGTTATTTCTGGGTTTTTCTTTTTCTTTTGACAGGAGGATCTGCTGCAGAGGCAGAAGGGGATGGGCCAGTCACAAATGGAGAGGTGGAGAAACTGACAGATGACGTCAAGAAACAAACCTTGGAGGATCGTAATGTGGGAGCTGTGATTGGTACATGTACATGAGCAATTCCAGAAATTAGGGGTCCATTTTTTTTTCGTGTCCCTGTCACGTCTGACATGATTTTGTAAGTTCAGAACACATTTTCTAATTTCCAAGAGTGCTGAATTAATGCCAACTAGCTGCCAAACAGACAGTAATACAGTACATGTAGTTTGAAATCAATTCCGGTGATATTTCCATGTCAAATAACAAAGGTCAGATGTAACAGGGACAAAAAAAGGTCACACTTTTGGACCCGGGTCTGTCCACATTAACAGCTACATTTGCGTGACATTCAATAAAACTTCCCAACTGTAAAATTTTGCCATTATTTTTGCTTACCTATGTCTTCACTGTTTCTGATTGTTGCCACAGAAAGGCAAAGACAAATTGAGCAGTATTTAAGAAATTAAAGAAGTTCATTTCTGAAGATATAACATTTGTCACATGGACAGACACTTTGTCCCTTAAATGTGAAAATTAAATTCAAAACATAATTGAAAATTACCTGCAATGTATTAAATACTCTTTTTAGCTTACTTTTAGAAACTTTCATGATCTCATAAAAACATTTCCAATGTAGATAACACTGACATTTATTTCAAGAAAAATATGTAACGTTTGTCAATGGACAGACATCACGTTTGTCGCATGGACAGATATAACGCATGTCACATGAACAAACATTTTTCTGATGTTTGAATTAGAGCATGAAAACAGAATTGTTCACAAACCAGACTTTTTTGTTTTCAGTTTTCAAAATCAGTTTTGTTAAAAAAACTATTAAACCTCAGCTAAAATGAACACTGTAAGTTTTTCTAAATGAGTAACATTTGTCACATGGACAGACGTAACGTTTGTCTCGTACATGTATCATAACCTGGGGACAGACAGTCCTCTCATTTTCATTTCAGCAAAATGAACCAACTTTTTCTAATGAACTGCTTGTTATTCAATTTGGTTTTGTAATAAATGTATATGTACCCATAAGATAAGTCTTCTAAGATTTTTACATTTGGAGGGAAAAATTGTTGTGACAAATGTTACAAAATAGTGGACAGACATTTGCAATTCCTAAAATCAAATCTTAGCGTTGTCTTCTGATAGAAAAAAACAACCACAAATATGATGTAAACTATTACTGTAAAAACTTTTCTCAGGAAGAGATATGATTTTGTTCAGGTTATCTGCTCAAGAAATGGTAAAATCAGCCTGTTTCATGTTTGTCACTCTGTGGACAGACACTGTGATGTACATGTACGTTATTCCTTAATTAGCTCTCCTTAAATTCTGGTTTAAGATAACTTAAAGAAATAAAAGCCATAGATTTTGACACATTTCTCAAATGTTATACCTGTAGCACCCCTGTTTTAACAGATGAATTGCTTTTCTATATAAGAGCGGTATTTTAGATTACCTGAAAAACATGAGCTGACACAGTTATGTGCATGTCCCACCAGAACCCCTAATATAAGATGGACATTTTTATCAAGATCCTGATTATTTTAACAATGAATAACCAAATCCTATTAAACTGTGCATACTAATCTCCACAATTATACATATATCACTAAAATTGTTAAAAGTTCATTTCCTGACTTTCAACACATAAAGAAAGAGATGATTTTGGTTATTTGTAAATGTATCCATTAGTGTGGACAGACCCACCCCTAATTTCTGGAATTACCCACGTGTACATCAACAGTGTTAGCCAGCATTGTACAGTAGTCTAGACCATTGCAAGATCAGTCATGAGTAACAGGGTGAACAGTGACAAAAGAATGCTTTATTTGCAGTTCATTTAAATAGCTTATGACTTGAATTCAGACTGAAGGTCTTATGATGGTCTTAAGAGGTCTCAACTTCAACACTAATGTTAACCCAACATCTCTTACCATAGAGTCAGTTTCATCTCACTCCATAGCATGGATATTTTCTGTGCTCCGAAAATATTTGGGACACTTCTTTTTCATAGAGACATACATGTAGAGTTGCAAGGTTTGGAATGAAACTTTGAGTTTTTGTGCGGCACCACACCTAGACAGTGAGTACTGCAGAATTAATTATGGGTTACCATAGCCCTGTCAGACTCAGCTAAAGGCCACGTGTATATAAGTGTCTGAGGGGAACTTGTTGAACTGGGTGATCACTGATTAACAGCATCCGAATATACTGGCTATGTTGGGACGATGGGAGCTGGTCCCAACCCACAATGGTCCTGTTGGATCCTGTGGTGGCTGGTAATCGCAGACTTCCAGACCATGTCTCCCTCTCAGTTGTTGACCTGTTGGACCTTGTTGCACTCTGCTGGCAAGCAACGTGGACAAATGATGCACATTCATGCATTTGGCAGGGTTTCTGCACCGAGCATCGTGGAGTGTTAGGCAGAGTGTCAACCTCTGTGGAATTGAAAAGTAGCCTCGTCCTTTACCTTTTCCGGCAGGTGAAGAGAAGGAGGAGGGAGGAGAAGGAGAGGGCGACACAGAGAACAGCAAAAAGAAGAAGAGGCGAAGAAAGAAGAAAGGCGGAGTTTTATGCGTTGAAGGAGAAGGCCAAACGATACCGTGTGCTGGCAAGAAACAGACGGACCCTCCAACAATCCCAGTCTCTGAGCTGTTCCCAGACGGGGCATTTCCCGAGGGCCAGATAATGGAACACCCTGTAGGGAATGGGTGAGTGAACTGTCGAGGTTTGGGTTTTCGAGATAGGAAATGGTCGAGTGTTGAAGCTGGCTACAGTGTACTTGGATATTGAACGATTTGCTCTATTGGTCCACCTAACTTTGTGGGCAGTTTCAGTTGGAAACTTCTCAAGTCTACATGTAAATCCATCTCCATCAAACCTAGTGGCATATTATCTTTGCTTATAAAACAGGAAAATCAGGCCAACATACATGTACCTTTGGATTAAAAGTAGATGGGCCTTAACTTCAAAACAATCCAAACCATCCTGATAAATTCTGGAGGATCTATATGAAAGAGGACTATCTTAGCAACCAAGGGTTTGAATGATTGAGTATCTTAAAATGCAGCCTCTTGTTTTAGCATGGGCTTTTTGTTTTGTTGCAGAAAATGCTCCGAGGTTTAATGTTTGTTGGATTTGGGAGATTTTGCTAAGGTTCCAAAGAAATTCCAAGCTGTGTTTATTCTGTTTCTTGGATACAAACTGTGCCCAGAAATTCAAAATCACAACAGTTTATTACACTTAAAACATCACCTCTAGGTGAAGTCATCATTTCTAGAGGTTATGTAACGACATGTTAAATATTTGCCAGACAAATTTTGGCATTTTTCTAACAAATTAACATGCACCTGAGATTTTTCATTAAATTGTGGGTCGACTGAGATGAACTGAACAGCAGTACACTACAAGAACTGTTCATCGGTACAGATTGATTTGATAAAACTTCTCCTTCTTTCGACATTTACAGACAGACCGCCGCTTGGCGTGTGACAAGTGAGGAAAAGAAGGCACTGAACAAGGCACACAACGACGTATACAATGAGCTCCGCCAGGCCGCAGAAGCTCACCGGCAAGTCAGGAAATATGTGCAGAGCTTCATCAAGCCAGGCCTGACCATGATTGACATATGGTAATGCATTCTCTTGGGTTGGAGACTCTTCCCTGTTTATCACAGGAGAGAGAGACTAGTTGTCAAGCATTTGATCTGTCTTATGCTAACTGTCTGTGGATTTCATGCACCAGGCAACTTTTCCTTGGATCAGCTGATTTACTGGTTTCCACTTCACACTCATGCCACTGAAATTTGAAAAACTCTGTACAAAGTCTTGTAAAGAATGGAATTTCCTTGTTTTTCCGTCAAAAAAGTCTAAGTTGCTTGCACAAGTGTCCCAGTGCCAGTGAATGGGAGAAAGGCTGAGTAGATCACCACTGGGTTCCTGACTGCATAATTACTTGGAGGAGGGCCTTGTACAAATGTAGCGGCTGTGGCTAGAAATTTTGGTCGAGTTCGGGCGGCCTGTTGTTGACACGAATTTCTTGTTCTCGCGCTCAAACGGCGGGAACACGACTCAAGAACACTGTCCTCGGAACAGGATCACACACCACCTCCTCACACGGAAACACACGGAAAAACTCGTGAGATTTTGATTTTTGAACAGCTGCAAAAAGTAGAGAGATGGCTTCCAAAGCCATAGACCATGTTGACAATGGGAAATTTTGCAAAATTAACATTAATTATTTTCCGAAACACAGAAATGAATGTTCCTGTTTATATAGAAAAGAATTCAGCCCATCCAAACCTTAACTCTCGAATAATGTACATGGATGCCGCCATGTTACATATTGCTGGTGATAACCGGTTGTTTGTTCCTGCCGTTTGAGCAGCTGACCCACGAACAACAAATCGAGCTGTTTGTGAACATACGGGAACAAGCCGCCCAAACTCAGCCATCACTTAAGCCAATGGGAGCCACTGGCTAGTGGCTATAAACACTTTGTATAAATATATACATTACTCCTTGTCACAGCCAGTTGATTCAGACTCAGTCTTAAGAATGACAATAGGGTTACCAGGAGCAGTCAGTCCATCTCCCTTTGTATATGGGATACATGTTTTAAATTGACATAGAGTGGCATGTATTGACCAGAAAACTGCAAATGTCTACTCGTGTTGTCAGCTCAAAGGAAGGTCATTGCAAGGTGACAAAGTTCCCTCTCATGGCTGCTTGACAGTTGTCAGAATATTTAGGAGTTCACATGCACAGGTATTTATATGGTTGCATGAGCACGGGTGACCAAGTTGTGTCGGAATGGGTGGTCTTTGCGTGTCAATATTTTTTAAGTAATCCACTCCGTGCGGGAACAAGAGATGGTGCGCTTTCACATAGCAACATTCGTCCTTTAGTGGGAACTAACATACAGATACATGCTCATGCACATCTGGCTTGGGATGTGCTGAGCACATGCAACCAGTTTCTGTCAAGAGCGTATGGTCTCTGCTCGTGTGCCAGGTACTCAGATGAAACAATTCCCACCAACCTGTCTCTTCTTCGCCGGTGAGAGGGTGCTGCAAGCCGGGATGGACCAGTCAAAGAGTTTGAGAATTGTCAGACAGGGACAAAACAGAGGCTACACTGATCAACGTCAGAGAAGTGGTTTGTTCTCAGTCAGGATATTGACAACTGACTTGTGTCTTTTCCCCCGTTAGTGAAAGACTTGAGACTGCCTCCAGGAAGCTGATTGACGAGAATGGTCTGGCAGCAGGTTTAGCCTTCCCTACAGGCTGCTCTATCAACCACTGTGCAGCTCACTACACTCCTAATGCTGGTGATCCCACTGTTCTGCAGTATGACGACGTCTGCAAGATTGACTTTGGCACCCATATAAATGGTAGAGTGTTTTGCTTTGTCAAATACATTCATCACTACAGAGCTCACTCAAGAGAGGAATCAATTTAATTATTGATATTTTACTGGAAATTTGTGTTTTACTTGCATTTGCAAATGTCATTTTCTTATTAATAAGACAGCGATACATGTAAATGGTAGTTTCTTTGTGAAATTTATGTTCCAAAGTAGACGACGATTAAATAATATTCCATACCCAGTGCGAATGAAATGGTTTTATTCAGAAAATGGACTGAAGTTTCAAGTGGAGAGAAGTTTATACAGCCTCTGACCACTCTCTAAGACCATTTTCCAGTATTTTGTTGAGACAGAGATGACGTATTGAGTACATCACTTTTGAGATCTGAATTCAAATGTCGGAGTAATGGATGTCTTGAGATTTGTTCAGAGACCGAAACCAAGTCATCTTTGAAAAGACGGATTGTTGAGTAATCTGCTGGCATGGTTACTGGAAACAGTGTGCAGGAATGGAAATTGGAAATTTCAGTTTTCTAACACGTTGTGCTTATGCAGGAATGGAAATTGGACATTTCATATTTCTAACACATTGTGCTTATAAAGGAATGGAAATTGGAAATTTCATTTTTCTAACACATTGTGCTTATAAAGGAATGGAAATTGGAAATTTCATTTTTCTAACACATTGTGCTTATAAAGGAATGGAAATTGGAAATTTCATTTTTCTAACACATTGTGCTTACAAAGAATGGAAATTGGACATTTCATATTTCTAACACGTTGTGCTTA